AAATGTGTCCCTTACTTAAAATGCCTGTATCATGGTGCCTCCACTTAACTCGGAGTTTTGTTCGACCGACACGAAACAAAACGCCAAAACGGTAACCCAAAATGACCAAATATTTTGTCAAGGCATTCATTTACTTCACCAGCAATTCTTCATTTCACACTGGGATACGGTTTGCACATGTCATCATTGCGATTATACAAGTTGAAATATGCAGCCCGGTACATCAAGATTGCCTGATCGCTACCACTCATACAACTGTAGCCTGCGCACTGACAGTTGAATCCCTCTCTTTTTGGTAGCCATGTGACTGCGAGGGAACCCTGGCTTGCAAATTAGCCCGATTTCTGTTGCTGACCCAGATGCAGTTAGTGATTTGCACTGGGCATCTTCCTCATTGCATTTGGTGCAAAAAGAGAAGAAACAACGATTTGGTATAAACATTTTTTACCTGTTTAAATGTTATATATCCATTAATGAGGAAACACCATTTGGCAATATCTTGCTTTTCACAGCAAAAAAGAACTGTACCCATGGAAACCAAAGTATCGGTACTATACGGAAGAGCTATACACATGACCACTGGAATAATGTGCAAAATGCACATGTATACTCAAAGAGCTGCCGCCACAGTTGTGGGTTCAAACATGTATAGGAGTGGAAAAGTGTTGGTAAATTTCAACAAATTTTGAAACAGCGCGAACTTTGCCAGTTGAAGAAGTGAAGCCTTGACCGTAGTTGTCGTCAACTTCAACACAAGTCAAACTGTACGTTAAGTGTGAGTTCAAATCAGCTAGGGTCAGGTCATAAGAGACAGAGATATGATTCATGACAAAGAATTTCATAGTGTACTCTAACTGTCCCAGCTAGTGACTCACATTTTATCACCTGGCTGTGATTAATTAGTGACTGATGACTTTTGACGATGGACATTTATCTGAATCATCAAGAGTGTAAAGTAATGGCTGGGCTGTTCCCCCCAAACTCCGGCCATATCCCCCCAAAATCTGGTAGATCGTGGAGCATCCTGTAAGGTCTTGTCAAGGAATTTCACGTGTGTTTTCTTAAATTTCAGGTGACACTAACATTCAGCGAGGCCCAGTTTGGATTGAAAGAATGCCTTTTGACAAAAGAGAGTGACCCAGAGTCACCATTGTGCGCCCGACTGATGATAAAGGGTAACACGAGCTAACAATCAGGATGCTTGATGAAGAGACTTTGATAGCGTTGGCTTGGGGGATGTTGTTGTAGGCAGGTGTACGTTGGCACTGGAACTGTCCTTAAAATCTGGGATCTTTTTAAAAGCACAGGGTGTGCTGTCATTGATAACCTACGTTAAAATTCCTAGGAAATCTCTTCATTGAGAGAAACACCTTCACGGCCTTGACTCAATTTTTGTTCTTCAGATTTTCCTTTACAGGTATATTACTCTGTCTGTAACTCTCTTTCCCTATCCAACAAGGCAACATGCACTTGGTGACTGACGCGGCGGAAAATGCCACAGCCCGAGCTGCCCTCTTTCCACGCCACCCAAACATGGTCACTTGGGGTTTTCACGAGTACACCTTCCTGAAGATGGACATCAAGCAGATCCTCCTCCTGGACTACTTTGGTGGCTACAGCTATGTCTCCGTGGATGACTATTTCAAGGCCAATCTTAATTAGAGTCAATCACAGACACAATGTTTTCATGTAGATAGGACATTGTTTTCACAAAATGTCACGAAGAATCTTGAATACATTTCAAGCAACTGTAGAAGAAAAATCTTTAATACATTTTTAGGTTGACGGACAGGACGTAAAGTTAACATATTGTAAGTGTGCATGCATGCATGCAGGGCCACTCGTCATCATGTCTACGAATCGTGCACTACAGGTCAGAGGTCACAATCAAATCGAGCAGCTCGTGAACTGTCAAGGTTACTTGAACAACAAAGTAGGTTTACAGTATGCAGATCTAACTGAATCCACATACAGTATTCATCATCGTATGGCTTCTTGCAATTTGCTTGAACTGCAAAATACATTTCATGCTTCATTTTGTCAAATTGGCCCCATGGGTTGCCAAATTAATTTCCTGGTTCAAGTAATGAATTATACATAAAGCCACAGTGGCACAAATAATGCCATATTGACAAAAACACTTGGCGTCAGTGATTAGGCATTGCGAATTCCTGAAGATTGTTCTGTTGCATTGTGCAGTAAAGCTGTGTTTGTTGAATTACTCTGGTCTGTTGTGTTTGGATCCGTAGTAATTTCAGTGATGTAGTCGAGTACTTTTTGAGAACCAAGCTCTCTACCAAATATTTAACTAGTTAGGAGGGAACAAAGCTGAAGTACATCGGCATTTGATGATACATGCATAAAGGTAAGATTACAAAGCAACATAATGACTTCAGACCATCACTGTTTGATTAAAATTAACTTTTTAGGACAAAAGTACTCGGAAAGTACTCGGCCGAGTACTTTCCGAGTACTTTTCTCCTTAAAACTTCAATTTCACACAACTGGGAGTGTCTGAAGTCTAACATTTATTTTGTAATCTTACCTTTGCACATTTACCATCAAATGCCTTTGCATTCTGACTTTATTCCCTCTTACCCAGTTCAGTATTTTGCGGAGAACGTTAGTACTCGGAAAGTACTCGACTACAACACTGAGTAATTTTAGTGCTGCGCATTTTTTTATTTTGCCTTTCTTATAAATGTGGGGAAAAGGTGTTCCTCTAAATGATAGCATTGTTCAGTTTTTTTATCCCATAGCCCTAATGCATGTATTTTAAGGACAAATATGTTCTTGCTGTTAATGAGCAGGGCTGAATTTCACTAGCTGCCCCCAACACTTGGCAGATAACCCCTTCCCACTTGGGATCTAGTTCCATCCATTGTATTTTTTCTTTCATGTCTTCCATCTTACATTCCTTTGTTGTTCAACCATGCCTTTCACGCAGTCCCCTTTATCCTTTACCCCTTTATCCAGCCTGCAGCTTTATTGACCATGCATTCGTCCATGATTGGTTGATTCTCTGCGTGCTTGTTTGTTGCGTCCACGTGTAATTTACCTTGAGAAAGTTTCTGCTGGATCGAAATGTCAGGCCCTCCATATTTTCAGAAAATAGTGCTTACAATTTTGCTAACAGTAAGCACTATTCCATGGTAATGCTTGGCGCGGCTGTGCCAACAGTTGCTCTCAAATAGTGATTTCTACTATTGCGTCACTAAGTTAAAGAGAGTTTTCTGCCGGCTTCACTGGCTTCATTTGGGGTCAACCGTCAACACTCCTGACATTGGTAGTATTAAGTAAGTTTCAAATAAAAATCAGCAGATATCGTGTGCAGCTATGTATAGGTACTCGATATTTGGGCTAGAAACCATTTCTTTCCTCCTTGATGGACTTACTGTCTATGCAAACACCTCATGAAATTGGTTAGGTTGTCGGAGCACCCTGTTAAATTAATAATTTAAATTGGTGTATGCCTGTCTGCAACCAACATAACATAAAGATGTAAAGTGAAGATATTGAGCTAGTAAATGTGGCTGTATTTACTGGAATAACTGATTGCTTCTGGACACTTTAGGTATAACTGTGTGTTTTTAGCATGTTTTCATAAATAGGAAATAAAGTTAGAAATAACAGAAACCGAACGTATCATGATAAAATGCTTCACTTCAGAATAGTGCTTGAGTAGAAAATACCAAGATATAGAATGGGTAATTGTCCTCCTATGGAAATTGTAACTTTCAGATATGATTTTACAGATTTTTAAAAGTGTTTTTGAATACATTTGGTCATTACAAGTAGATATTGAGCTTTACAAATAGTTTACTGTTTACATGTGCATTCATCAGTTTGCCTGATGCCTGCTGCATATTTAAACCTGTAGTTGAGTTTTTACTTGATCAAACAAAACCCGTGACGCAAATAAATAAATTTTAGGCAATAGAGCAGTCTGAAACCAAGTCTTCAATGATTTTTGGCTTTCCCAAATACCCAAGCCTCCATGATCTATAGAGAGAAGGGGGAAGTTTCAGAATAAGGATATTTTGATGTCAACAGAACAGATTTACATGTTTTCTGCAAAGCATGCCGAATAGCCTTTAAAGTAGTTTATTGCCAGAAACACTCACGGCCGTGTGAAGAGAGATCGTCAACCTTTGAAATTTTTGTGCATGGTGTTTTTAGTCAAAACGTCCCAAGATGTTCCACAAATTGTTTTAATATGGACGTTTTGTGTAAAAACCTGCAAAGATTGAAATCTGCTCGACTCTAGCAATACATTTTCAGGAGTAACACGAGTACACATCTACACTTTGTGTTTTCAAGAGCTTTACTCATCTGTCATTACGGATTGTTGGGCAAATCTACGGGTGCATGTTGCTGTTATACGAGAACAGAGCCCAGCTCATTTTTTTACAATGCCAAGAACGGATGCCACCGAGACTGAACATCATTAGTTTATCTTTGTGTTTTAATCCATGCTGAAAATGGAGACGCTGCAGCGCGTTCTGTCAACGCTGTGCAACGTACACGTTTCCCAACATAAAGCTGTCATTCGGCGCACGCATTTTATCCGAAATCTCATTTCATCCGAATTGAGAAAGGATCCGAATTGAGAAAACATCGAAAATCCAACAGCATCCGCATTTAAAAAGCATGCGATCTTTTTGATGTTGTTCAGCCCGAAGTTCTGAATCGTTTTGGACGATTCCACTATTTTCGGCATGTGCAGACTTGGGGACTGCATACTCGTCTCAATGTCGAGTGCAGTGCGTACGTACGAACGTACGTTTAGCAGTCTTATCTGTGCATTTAGTACGCAGTCGATGGGATTCCTGCAGCAGCATGGCAGCTTCCGAGAATGTTTACAAAATTCGTGACAACCGGGAAGTAAGACACGGAAGCAGTGTAAGCTGATTTTTAATTTTTTTCTGAGTTAATTTGTCAGGTCTCAGTGTATACCTTATGATATGCAGTAGTACCCCACCCACCAAAGGTTTCAGAGGCCTTGAACATCATACCACTTGAACCCTGGTGGCAGCGTCCATGCCTGATGTGATACTCGTGACACCGACAGTTATTCTGCAACAGTCACGACCGAAGAGTGCCTGGAAGACTGATCACTTTCTTGGAGAGATTTTCATTAAGAAATATCCGGAAGTGAAGTAGGTGATGACATACAAGACTTTCGATTTTTAAAAAAGACATTTCGCTTTGCAAAATATGTTCCAATCTTTTTGACCCGAATTCTGCTTTAATTTGACCCGTAATTTGTAAGATCCAAGTTACCTGAACTAATCTGATGATCAGCTCGCCGCCATCATGATCCACAGTTTCTTTAGCCTTATATGAGTTTTTATTCTCCCCTTATAGGCCTTTCCAAGTTATGAATTGTTACTCGATATGTTTAAAAAGCCCGATGTACGTAAGTCTCATTATAAAACCCAGAATTTCCTGAAATTTGCGAGATCGATATTATACATAAAATCTAGTTTTACCAAGTAAAACTTAAAGAAGCATGCTCAGTTTGCAAATATGAGAGGCCCGTCCAACACCTCAGTCAGCTGTACCTGGGAATGAAAGATCACACCTTTTTAAACCAAACACCGAACAGCACACCAGTTTTTTAATGTACCATTCAGCAATTTGTTGAAATATATCGTGCCTTTTTCAGGTTTTGAATTCGGGAAGAAGTTGAAAACCCAATGGGAATTGCCTTTTGCTGCACCCAAAATGATGACGAACTCTCGCGCAGACAGACTGGTCTTCGTCAAAGGAGGTCGCACTGTCTAGTTGCAACTGTCTAAATGTATAGCTGATAATACCACCTTCTACCTCGTGTAAAAGTCTCTCTGACTGGTTGATCGGTACCTTATGCGCTAAAAAAAATTTCAACCGGTGTCGTCATCGACGGCCGGCTTAGTTGCCCGCGCGTTGTTTTTTTTGGCACAGATTGGGTGTATGAAAATGCACTGACTTCGCTTCACGTGACAAAGGTCAGGAAAATTCACTTTTGCTTCCATGTAATTAGCCTATTTTGTGATTATAGTTGTAAAATGTGGAAGTTTGTGGTGTTTAAAGGATTTGGTGGTTTGATTCACGAGACAAAATTTCCCATGCATTACAACAGCGTTAAACTTGAACAGGACAAGATTTGGCTCTTGCGATTGACATGGCCAAGTTGTTACATGGCCGTACTATTAATTATGTTAATAGGGGTGACTCGCTGCGAGCATTATTGTCAGTGTGTGTTCGCGTTTACTGAGAATGGATCGATGCTGACTTTCAAGAATCCAGGGGCCTGTAGATTTAGCCTGGCCTGTAGCCTAGACATATAAACCTTGTCATGCCTAGCCTAGCCGAGGACACAAATGCTGGGAATGTTGGACTTAGGTTAGACATGATTATTCCTAGGCCTAAATTAACTTAGACCTAAGTTAAAGCCTTAATCATAATCTCAAAAGATTGCCTAGGCCCAAAGCTATCCAGAATGTTTCATAATATGCAGTTGAGTTCATAATTATTGTAACAGTTTCATTGATCTTTTCACAGTTATGGAAAGACTCCGTCGACATTGAAAAGTTAAGTACAGAGACGTTGTGAAAGGATCAGTACTACCAAGAGCAACCCGCTGCCATTATCGTACATGGACTACAGAGACACTATAAACTTTGGCGTGACGCTGCAGACCCAAGTTGACATTAATTCAAAATCTGATCCCCGTGTTACAGATTTTGGACAACTGCTCCGCTCAGAGGTGAACGTTTGAATGCAACCAGAAGAAGAGGTTGTTTGATTCAATTGTCACTTCCAGTGGAAAAGGATGTGTATGAGAAACTTCGTCAGCTGGGAATTTCGAAAACAGGCAAACGCCGAACAATTGAGAAGTTGACTGACTTTCATGAGTTCCTACCTGGGACCCGACTAGCATTTCCGCATTTTGAATGCCTCTGGTTAGTTTTTGTTACATTGTGAACAAACCTGTTGAGTATTGGCTTCCTGAAAAAAAAATCTCGTGGAATACAGACTGGATGCCGTGGGTGGCATTCTTGAATGTATTGAGCGTGGTATTTAGAGATTTATTTTTGATTGTGGTACTGGCAACAAGCAAGATCTCGTAGAATTACTTGCATCAAACTTCTTGTAAGCTGCAGTGCTGGAGTGAACCTGAATGTGCATTCAAACTCTTTTATATTGCAGATGTAGTCAAGTGTAATTTTCCACTTTGATTCTGCTGTTATGATTGCTGAATTGCTTGATGATTTTGCACAGTATTTGGAGCTCGCACTTAATATCAATAAGATTTTGTTATTTTCTGTATT